GTCCACCTCGATCAAAACTAAGAAAAATTTATTTTATGCTTATGTGCTTAAGAAAATTAATTTTTTATAAAATTTTTGTCACACATTTGAAATAAGTTTGATTAAACCACACTTATGCCACTTTTACGCTCTTTATGCTCTTTCAGGGCTGCCGCGTAACTTTTTTCAACTACTTAACAAATTTTCATTTAGACAGATATATAAAGACTCGTAAATAAATATAAGTATATATTACATATAATTTAATTATTATTAAATTAAATGGGTTTGATTAACATTAACGTATAATTATGTAAAATGTAGTTTCGATCGTAATTTTGTGTGTTACGCAATTATTTATGCATTTTTCTTGGCTATTTGGACATTCCTCATATGCGGAAAGTAGTTTAGAAGGGCTTCATATATGTTAATATGTGGGAAACAATACAAATCTATTTAGCTTGAAATTGGAAAAAATGTTTTCAAATTGAATTTTACTTAATCTCATGTTGATAATGTTTTCCATCTAAATATGATGTTGTCGGTATTATATAACGAAATTTAAACTTATATGACATTAATAAATAAAACTTTATAAATATAATTTTGTACTGAAAAATAGAACCCATTAATTTTTATAATAGTAAATTAGTGTTAGACATATCAAAACTGTTATTACAATCTATTGTGCTTTTTTTTCAGAAAACAATTACTAAGTATATAGCCTTACTAAGTTCAATAAATATAACATTCTAAAATTTATTTAATATATATTGTTTTTTGTTAGAAATTGTAGAAATTTGTGTTTATAAATAAGCATTACCTGCGAGCAAAAATTCCTACAAAAATTTAATTCTTACTAATTCGTAAAGCGAATTTTGTAGTCAGTACCGAATAGATCGTTAATATGGAAGGATGTACACGCTCGCCAGCAATTTTCGTGGTGAGTATTATTAATGAACACTGGGTTAATCAATTGGGTATTATAATTTTGTTATATATTTTTCACACCACTTTTGAGGTTCACTCATATCGGTGTAAGATATGATGCGAGCGTAGGTTGTAACGAAAGGATACCTGCCTTCTCATTCGTAAATTTCATGGTTTAAGCATGAAAAATAAATTCTTACAAGAAACAACTACAATATTAAAGCACATACAGCCATAGTCAAAAGTATTTACACAACGAAAGTATTTACACAATGCAAATTAGCATTTATTCTGGGATTTGCTTTAAGAAAGTGCAGTTGTTAGCTTTTGTCACAAATTACATAAATATCATAAATTTTAAAATTTCAGAAATTATTCAGGAAAATGGTAAAAATCAAGGAATTATCAGTTGAAATTCGATCTGAGGTTGGTACCTAATATAAGAGTAAGATTTCGGCGACGAACTTAATAAAGTTATGCAAAATTTCATGTAAACGGTGTAAAATGTAGTTAAAATAAGAACATACGCCGAAATTTAAAAATTTTGAAGAAAACTGGTCGCAGACCTCCCATGAATCAAAGGGAATGCAGAAGATTAATAGGAGCAGTCGTAGAAAATCCTACAAAAAGTCTTGCCAAAATTGCAGCATGAGCGGAAAAATTGACTGGCAAGATAATTAGTGATGCTACACTAAATCGTATGTTGAAAGATGCTAATATCAATACCTATGTGGTGCACAAAAGAGTCAATATTACTCTATCGTCCCTATCAAATATTCTCTCATTTGATTTGAAATATTTTAAGAAACCAATATAGTTTTGTTATAATGTGTTATGGACAGATGAGTCTGGATTTCAATTTTAAGGTTCGCTCCATGCATTTAGGATAACGCCAAAAGAATAAAGCACGGCAGCTACTTAATAGATTTGAAGGTGGCACGGTTATGTTTTGGGAATGTCTATCGTGCTATGCATTTGGAGATTTGGTATCGGAAAATGGCACCTTAAATCAAATCGGTAATATTGGTATTTTAAATAGCCATGCCTTTACGTCAGAAAATAGACACTTTCCAATTAATAACTGGATTCTACAACATGACAATGCACCATATCATAAAGGATGTACTCTTAACCAATTTTTAAAAGAGTTAAATCATACTGTTTTTCTATGGTCTTCACAGAGTCCTGATCTTAATGTCATTGAAAATGCTTGAGGCTTCATAAAATAGCAAAGAACTATTGATAAAAATACTAAACATAGTGATACCATAATTAAAATCAAGGAAATTCGGTACAAATTGATACGCAACTTGATTAAATCAATTCCAGCTAGGTTACAGCAGTTATTGAAGCCAAAAGTGGTGTGACTAAATATTAATTATATTAATTAAATAAGCATAAAAAAATTAAAAAAAATTCATCAATTAAGAAGAAGAAAATGAAATTAAAGTTTTGTGTAAATACTTTTGACTATCGCTGTATATGTTATATTTTAATCCGTACTTTAATCAATTGAAACAGAGAAACAGTTTTTATATTGATGCTAGTGATATCTTTTTAAACGATGTAAATGTGTAACTGAATTCCGACTACGCAGGGTTCTAAAATATCTCCAAAATAAAATTTAGCAAAACACAAAATATAGGTAAACAAATATTGTACTCTTTCCTTTCAGCTAAAAATACATATGTATGGTATTTTCATTTTTTGTCAAATTTGCACGCTAAAGCAATAACAGAAAATAAACACAAAGTTTTCCTCTTGACCGGTCTAATGTTTTTGGAGACAAATTTTGGAAGGGCTAAGTTGAGAAGTCTTCTTATACTTTGTGTTTTTGATAGATTTATTGATGTCAGCTGTCTCTACCAGCTGTTTTATTTTAAAAGTAGTAAAAGCAAAAAGGCTTGATGTCAATCAGCCTCGAACTATATCTGTTGTTTTCTATTTTGTTTTGGGAGTTGATTTTTGTTAATAAATTAGCTGTCAATATGGTTTTATTCCATGTGGTTATTGTAAAAGTTATTAATGTTATTAATGTTATTTAAAAAGCTTATTAACATATTACCATAAAACCGTAATTACAAGTGGAAATAGAGGCAACTTAAATTAAGTTTTGTATACTTCACAAATTTTAAAGAATCGTGGCTTCAAAGAATCGACGCATTTGAGAATCAAAAGCCGAATTGCTTTTGATTTCAAATACTTGAAAATAAGTAGAAAATAATTTGAAAATGAGTTATAAATATTATAATGATTCGTGCATATAATTACGTTAAGCATGTGACCATTTATATTGCAATACAAAATATTTTTCACCTGAGTCAATACATGGCTCAACCATTATTAGAAACTCCAGAATAAGTTATTATTCTGGTCAATTGAAATTGATTAGTAACTGTACATAGTGGATATTAAACTTCAGAATATATTGTTTAAAGTTAATACATAAAGAGGTTTTTCCAACAGTAGTGAACTTCAACAACAAAAATTCATTTCATATTATTTTAACTAATTGAATTTTTGGTTGACCATACAGCTGTGTCGAGTATTGCCAAATACCCATCATCAGTGGTCTTAGAAATAATTCTTGTATTTAATTATTCGTAAATAATTTGTATTTTTTTGAGACTGCAAGTGCCAGGAATCGAACCCGCGTCTTGCCAAATTTGAAGCTCAGAGTCAGTGCACCTTCACCAGCTGACCCAAAGCCGTACTTGACTTTTATTTTTGCACATTAGTATCCTGAAAAATGTGCGAAAAGAAGTCAAGTACTTTGCCGCACATTTATACGTTGCAAGTGCTTTCGATTTTGTTTGATCACTGCATAAACATGTATGGTTTTGAGTACAGACTCAGCTTTTGTCCATCACTATGTATTAATATGAACGTTGATTGGTATTTTAATATAATTTTTAGTTTCCTGATGCTGTCTTTAGTTAGTCTAAAGTAAATAAATAAATTATAGTTTTTTTTCTTTTTTTTTCTATTTTTGACAATAACAAAAATTTGACCAATTAGCCTGCAAAAACACTATATTTTGATTAATTTTGTAGGTTATGTAAAACTTCTCTCTACATTCTGGTAAAATTTACCACTGCAAAACAAAGAATTCAAAAAAAAATATACCTATATATAGTATATGTTGAAGTACATAATGTATGTATTGACAAAACTATCTTACCTATGTCGAACAAAAGCCGACGAAAACTAGGGTTAATAACTCGTTTTTCACTAAATGGATGATATTGTTACGTAATCGCCTGTAATTCGTGCACGTCCGAATCACAGGATTTTGTAAAAATGAAATAAACTTCTTGATAAGAGAAACTATGTGCTTTATTTTATGAGTAGTATTAAAATACTTATATTTTACTCGGAGCAAATTTAGGAAACACAACTCAACTAAAATACTTCTAACTAACTTAAGATATCAACTGACATAATCAAATTATTTTTATTCGTTCCATTGCTTACATGATTAAATTCGTACCAATATTATAATTTTTGATTAAAAACACATGTAAAGAATTATTCTTAAAATTATTTTTACTAAGCAAACATCATTAAAAACAAGGATTCAAATAAAATAAAATTAAATGTTTGGGAAAGACAATACGCACGAGATCAAAGTCAAGAAGACAGTACTTTTTTTTAAATTCAAAAAAGGTGCTACACCTTAAAAGTTTAAATATTTAAACTTGGGTAGACAGGAGTAATACGCTTTAAACGCTTTCTAGGAAGATATTGTAGCAAGTATGTCTTACAACATTTTTCTATTTCAAAAAGGCGGGCTGGGAGTAATCAGGTTTACAAATCTTATAGAAAATTACCCGAACAGAGTTAGGTACCACAGCTACAGAGCAACAATTACCAGAAGACATCCTAGACTGTGTTAATACTGTCATATCTGTAATATGTTGAATATTTTTTTTTTCTAGAAAACTAGAACTTCACCAGTACTTAACTAAAGAAGAATATCGCTATATGTTCAATATATTATAACGAAAATTATGCGATTGTACATAAAAAGTTCAATATGTTCTCTAAATTCGTGAAAACGTTAAAATGATTATTTTTATAATATAACTTACCCTCGATGAAAAACAAATCGAACTTTTGTCATCAATTCCGCATGTTCTGCCAAACTCGTCAACGAATAAATTGCTCTAAAAAACAAAACAATCAAATCAAATAATTTTTATTTAAATTTTGTAAAATTTATGCAAAGATAATATTAAGATATAAATGACCAATTTCGACAGGTTTAATAAAATAGCTTAAATTATGTTTTTTTTCTCTGAATTTTACATATTTTATACGATAAATACAACTATATTCAAGGTGTTTCTGAATTATTTGGCATGAATGTGGGAACAGGTTTGTTGTGAAAAATACACAAATTCATTATTAGTACGTTCATTATTATTAGGTATAAAAAAAGTTTTAGTTTCCTGGCTTATTTTTTTTTAGTAGACGTCTGTCAAATACCCTCTACATCAGAAAAAATTAGAAATGCACCCACCCTCTCCTATACAATATTTCTAGGTCTTGAACCATTTCCCTTGGGCCGAATTAGTCGGAAATAGTTTGGATATAAACATACAATTCAACACTGGATCAAAAGAAAGTTTCTTTTTTAGACGTGTTTTTCGCATAAATTCCTATTCAGGCAGTAAATTTATTTTAAAGTTTGAATTAAGATCTAATGCCACATTATATTTGATTGGTATCATCTGCCTAAATTCATTATTTTGTCCTTGACTTATGGTATATCAAAATCTTTATGAATACCACCGTTGATTATTTATCAGTATTCATTGACAGTGTCAGGTAGTATTTCAGACGGTTGTCTGTGGATATATGCAGGTATGTCCATATCAGTTATAGAACCGCATATTGATTTGAGTATCCATGTTTTTGTATGAAAGGTTAAGTAAGTTTCTCTAAGAAGTACCCGCTATAAATTTTTATATTCAGTTTTATGTGTTTCTGTGTTATGATATTTGTTTGATATTCACATATCCATCAATGTCAATAACGTCTACAATGTTATTTTAATGTTTATATGCTCTATTATTTGTAATAATATTCAAGTCATTTCCTTGAAGACCTTTTTGTTTATGGATTTTTATAGTAAGTGCCAGTTGACTAATCAATTGTTTTGAAAAGATGTTTTGTAATTTTGATGTTGCTGTGAATAACTTTGTGTTAGCATAAAGTATTGCGATGTTATCGGTGAAATTTGCCACCACAACTGAGTTGTCGCTAGTACTGAATATTTGGAGTGTATAAAGTATATAGTGAAGATCTATTAACACCACCTTGTGGGATTGCTACTGCAATGGCTTACGTTTTTAAATGGTACTAAACGATACTAAACTTTCTCAAATGCTTTTCTGTATCGACGAACAGTACTTATGGAATTGCTGTGCGTTTTGCCGAAATCCGAATTGGTGGTCTCTCATTATTTGTAAAGCTTTTAATGCGGATCACATTCCATCGTCGCTTATAGAATAATCGGTTCATATAATTTCTGCCTTTTTTCTTGGTTTTATAATTGAAGTAGTTATTGCCATTCTTCATTCGATAGCAAAATATAACAATCGAATTTTATAAAAAATGTTTTACATGTATTTGAGTGCTTTTAAAAGAAGCTAGTTTGGTATACTTAAATATAGTGTAGTGTATTGTAATTAGTTATATTAAATAAGTTATGCTAAGATCAATTTATGTTAAATAAGTTATGTTAAGAAAGCTATGTTAATGTTAAATACAAAATGTTAAGAATTCTAGATTAAGGAAGTTATGTTAAGTAAAATAATTCCATTATACAGGGACTAAAAGTTCTAAGAAAAATGTATAAAAACAGAACAAAATTTGAATAAAATCATCAGTCGAAATCTAACATTTGGGTTTAACTGGCAGCAATATTTTGCTCCCTTAGCGAGAATTCTTATTATTTGGATATTTTGCTCCCTTAGCGGAAATCCTAATACATTCAGATATAATAGCTGAATATTATAATAGTTTTGTATTTTGATATACAAATATTTGGTTTTGAATTAATTTGATCTATTGTATCCTCTTCACTATGGTCTGCTGAGTTGTAAAAGCAATTCCAACAATTACTCCCTATAAATGAGAAAACTTCATTTTTGATTAGTATAGTTTTTTAATCAATACTAACTAATTTGTTATCATAACTCTAATATTAAATTATTCCAAAACTTATTTAAAAAGTATGTGTTGTCACCAAACTATGGTCCAATACATATTTTAACTTTATATATAGAAAAAGTTAGTTAAATAAATTTTATTATTAAGTTATATGTATATTCTTCAAGCTCACAACTTTTCCTACATTATTTTACGTTTAAGTGATTCAGAGTCCAACCCAAAACCTAATAATATGTATTTCATTGTAATTTTTCTATATCCCTGTTGCTTTCCTAAACAAGAACAAGAATCAATTTAGCAATATGAAATAGATTAGACTCAAATTTTCTATGACCAATATTCCTGTGAATTGATATAGATATTTTTTCAAAATCTTTTTATGGTAAAATCCTATTTCTATTATCTGTTTCTTATTTACTTTATTATCATTTCTTATCTTCGTTCTCATGTCGTCTTAACATCAGGTCTTACCAACAGTTTTCTTCTAAATTATTCTTTAATTGTGCCTATTTTATACCAAAATTAGAATTGTGACAATTAAGATGTTGAATCTCTTAACCGCATTTGATCTGAATTTTACATTCATACTCATCAATGGGTTATGGTCAAAAAAATTCTAACTTTGTACAATTTCTATTAAAATCTGCCAATAGTTTTTCTTCACCATCTTCTTGTGGCTGTTTCAATATTGCTCCAACAACTCAAATGCTTGTATCTGCGCAGATACATATATGTATATTGGTATATCAATGATTGCAACGACTCTATTTTCGACCGACCAAGTCCTCGATTAATGGAAATGACTGTAATTGGGAAACAGAGAAATGCAATGAGTCATAATTTTAACAATAAGTGTACATTCATAGAAAAACAAGAAAAAATACGTTCAAATGTTTTTCATGTACACTACTTATAATCACTCTCATTCGCCACAGAAATGATGCATAAAGGTGAAGTTAGACGGTAGTTAACGTAAGAAGTTAAGTCAAAGCGAAATGCACAAACAACCAAACCTGTGTATTTGATAGGAACGAAATAAATAAAAACGGTGTACTTTGTTAATTTCGTTTCTATCAAACACACACGTTTGGTTGGTTGTGCATTTCGCTTTGAATTAATTTCTTACGTTACCTGCCGTCTAACTGACCCTTTAAGTGGCCATTAGACAGTATCGCCCGCTGAGAGCGCACGAAGTCGTCTCTCTCCATTACACATCAGCAAACAATGCCTCCAGGAAACAATGCAAAATTTGTTCACTCATCAGTATTAAAGCAATCGCTGAAGTGTCAATAGTGCCTGCTATGCGCAATTTCTTACGAAAAATAATATTTAATTTATAATTTTGATTTATATATTTATTTTTATACATTATATTTTTTTTAATATTTAAAATTTTTTTTTGATATGTTATAGTAATTAATTTTTCGTAGGTAGACAATACAAATAATATTTAAAATAAAATATTCCTTGTAATTAAATGTTTGATTATTTATATTTTTTTTTGAAATCCAAGATTATTAATATTTTAATTCTTCGTGATAACATGTTTTGGAAATTAAGAAATTTTACCTATGTAGAAAATACAAATATTTAAAATAAAAGATTGTAATGTATATGCGATAGTTATATTGGCAATGCATATTATTAATATAATAATAAGTGATTATATATTTGAATGCGCAGTGTATATTCAAATACACTAATTGTTTCCAAGCGCATTGCATTGTTTACAAACAAATGCATAAGTCCACACACAAGGAATTTGACACCACACATATCGGCGACCCTTTACCTTCGATTTAACCATATGCTTGCCAGGCATTGACCGCTTATACAACAACATCAACAGTAAGCGTACTCGAAACAAGTGGAATCGAAGATGCTTTCTTACCAATAAATTATTAAATAGAAAACTATGCGTATAAAAACAATTGTGGGTTGCAATGAGTTTGAACTGAACATCGTACGAGGTGTGACTCGATCGAACATTGTTGCATGAGGTTGGGTGGATTAATTATAAATCCACCAGCAAAATAAAGTGGGTTTTTCGTTTGTATGAGCGTGGCGCTTCTTTGTACTCTAAATTCTTTGCTTCAACACAACATTCTGTTGGTTAATTATTAAAGATGTGGAAAAGATGAGAAAAAAAACAATAACAAAATCTTTTTATGTCGAAAAGATTAGGCAATATGTTCTAATTTGGTTTTAGAAATGCATATCAGTCCATAAAATATAATGAAAAATGTTTGAAATGCCAGTCATCAAATTTTACTTGATTTTTCTTTCTTATATGTAAACTAGTGTCATGTGCATACTGTCGTGTGTGTCTAGAGATATGAAACATAGTTAATAAATAAATGGATTGGTCATGATTTCATTCTCGGAAATTATTAAAAGATTAAAAAGAACGAATACAACATTACTCATTAACTTTTTCACGGCAAGTCTAGTGCCGTTAGAAAGTTTAGGTTAATTAATATTGCAAAGCATAGTAGACGGTACTTCAATTTTTAATTGTAAATTGTGTGGTGGTGATCCAAGTAAATCAAGGAAATTCAAAAATTCAATATCTACTGACTTATATGTAATCAATTCTCCAGCTATTTTATGCCGTATTTATTTTATCGACATCTTTGTTTTTTCCTCCCAATATTGTTCTCTCAAGCAACCGAACATGATTTTTGGGGTGCTATTCTATGCCTGTAAAGACTTTATCAATCGATTTTTCTTTGAATTGTATAAAATCACAAAAATTTTTGGAGATTATATTAAAGCATTAATTATGTTAAGGTCTTTACGTCTCCACAAATATTAAGATTTCAAATATGTGTTTGTATCGTCAGCAGAAGCACCACCAAAAAGTTCTTGATTTCCACGTAAATCCTTTATTCTTCTATCTAATGTTTCTAACAAATGTTGTGCGCCATAATGCACTCATCCTATACTATTATTATGGATTGCTGAAAACTTTTTCCATTCCAGATGTCTT